TGCATATGCAATATCAGGCCTAGTGCAATCAATCACATACCTCAAACTTTCGATTATGCTAGCATATTTCTTTTGATTTATTACATCATTTTCACTTTCAACAGGAAATAAGTGAACACTTGAATCAAAAGGAGTAGCAACATGCTTGCAATAAAAAAAGTTATATTTTTTTCAAATTTTTCTCAACATAATGTGACTGGTCAAGGAAAATTTCATCACATGTTCTTGTTATTTTTATTCCAAGAATAAAATTTGTTTCACCAAGATCTTTCATATCAAAATGACTTCTAAGAATATTCTTAGTTTCATCAATAACATTCATGTTAGAGCCAAAGATCAATAAATCATCAATATATAAGCAAATAATCACATGTGAATTATTCCAAGATTTATGATATATGCACTTATCACACTCATTTGTTTTAAAACCATTTTCAATCATGCAGGAATCAAGTTTTTCATGTCATTGCTTAGGTGCCTGTTTCAAGCCATATAGAGATTTAGTAAGTTTACATACTTTGCTTTCTTGGTCTGCTCAACAAAATACTCGGGTTGATCCATATAAATTTCCTCATTTAGGTCTCCATTTAAAAAAAGCAGTTTTTACATCCATTTGATGAATTTGCAAATCAAAAATCGCAGCCATAGCAATTAAAAGTCTTATGGATGTAATTCTTGTAACTAGTGAAAAAGTATCAAAAACTTCTAGGCCTTCTAGTTGTTTAAAACCTTTTGCAACTAGTCTAGCCTTATATTTATCAATAGAATTATCCGGTTTCAACGTTTTTCTTAAGACCCATTTGCAACCAATTGTTTTACAACCCGGTGGTAAATCAACTAGTTTCCAAGTTTTATTAGAAATTAGTGATTCTATTTCATCATTTACAGCCTCTTTCCAAAAAATAGAATCATGTGAAGATAATGCTTCTTTCAAAGTGAGAGGGTCATCTCCAACAGTAAACACATAAAAATCAGGACCAAAATCTTTTTCTACTCTAGCTCTTTTACTTCTTCTTAACTCAAAATCATCAACTTCTTTATTTTTCAAAGTAGAAGTAGAAGAACTAGGTAGTGACAAAATATTTTGTTCATTCCTTTGACCCCCACTATTTTTAGAATCAAAAGGAAATTTATTCTCATGAAAAATAGCATCGCCCGATTCTATCACAATATTATCTTCAAGATTAAAAAATCTATAAACTGTACTATTTGAAGCATAACCAAGAAAAGCACAAGTAGTAACCTTCTTACCCAAACTCTTAGATATCCCAAACTTGGCTTGTAGCCTTTCCACAATTCAAAAGGTGTCAATTTAGATTTTTTATCAGGCACACGATTCAATACATAACAAACAGTTAAAATAGCTTCACCCCAAAAATTTAAAGGTGCATGTGACTCAATAAGCATGTCATTAGTCAATTCAACCACAGTTCTATTTTTCCTTTCCGCTACTCCATTAGATGAAAGAGAGTAAGGAGGAGTAGTTTCATGAATTATTCCCAATGATCTAACAAAATAATTAAACTCATTTGACTCATATTGACGGCCTCTATCACTTCTAATTCTTTTTATTTTTCTTCCAAACTGATTTTCAACCTCATGGAGATAAGTTTTGAAATTTTCAAAAGCATCACTTTTATTTTTCATCAAGTAAACATATGTAAATTTAGAAAAATCATCAATGAAAGTGATAAAATATCTGTTATCTCCACGAGTTAAAATTTCACCAAGTTCACAAATATCTGTATGAACTAATTCTATGAAATCAGTTTTTCTTTCAACTTGAAAATGAGACCTTTTAGTGATTTTGGTTTTACTACAAGCCTCACACTTTTTAAAATTCTTTTTAACCATTGAGATTAATTCTAAACTACTCATGATTCCAACATAACGGTCATTAATATGACACAAACGAGCATGCCAAAAATTGGTAGAAGAAAGCATGTAAACAGAAGTAGAAGTTTTATTCATTTCAACATTCAGTTTGAACATCCCATCACATGCATACCCCTTTCCCACAAAAATACCCTTCTTCACTATTACATATTGATTAGATTCAATAATCTGTATAAAACCTGCTTTATTAAGAAGAAAACTAAACATCAAATTTTTCCTCATAGAAGGAGTATAAAGTACATCTTTCAAAGTTAATACCCTTCCAGAAGTTAAACACAATTCGACATCTCCCTTTCCAAGCACTTGAGTCGTGTGAGCATCACCAAGCATGATAGTTTTGGGCTCCTCAAAATGAGTATATTTCTTAAATCAGTCTTTGTCATAACAGACATGACGGTTTGCACCAGAATCAGCCCACCATCCATCAACATTCTCAACCATGTTTATGTCAGTAATCACCGCCACAAAAGGTTCTTCGATAACGTTTGCCTGAGGGTTAGGACCACGTTTTCGAAATCTGCAAAATCGAGCAATATACTCACTCTTGCCACAAACAAAGCATGGTCCCTTGTCTTGAACTTGTTGATTTTGTGCTTGGATATTTTCACCATTATTTTTCTTGGGAGGTATACCATTATTTTTCTTGAATTTTTTCTTCTTAGGCTTCAAAGAAGTATTTTTGTGAGTTTCAGGAGTAGCATTATTTGAAGTAATTAAATTTACCTTCGTTGTGATGTTGTTCTCTTCTGTTTGTAAAAGTGCATCTTATCCCCTTGCCTCTTCTTCCATGCGGATTTTCATTATCTAGGTTTCAAGAGAGGTTTCCTTTTGTTTATGACGCATAGTTTTTTGAAATTCCTTCCAAGAAGGTGGAAGTTTATCTACTATGCCACAAACAATAAGGTTATCTCCAATTTTTACCTCCTCGGACCTTAGCTCTCCAACAATCATTATAAAGTCTTGAGCTTGGTCTACCACTGATTTGTTGTCCACCATTTGGAAACGAAAAAATCTACTAGCCGCATATTTTTTCGCACCAGCCTCTTCAGTATCATACTTACTCTGCAACGCTTTCCAAATTTTCTTTGCACTAGAGTAAGTTCTATCATAATAATCATAAAAATTATCAGATAGACAATTAAAAATATAATACCGACACTTATAGGAATCACCATCATACTTTTCCACTTTCTCTAGATGAGAAATAGTTTCATCATCATTCATAGAGGTGATGTCTACTTTATTAGGATTTTTCTCAGTTAACACATAAGAAACATTGAGAAGACTCAAGTAAAAAAGTACTTTACCCTTCCATCTCTTAAAATGGTTACCATTGAACCAAAATGGCTTGTTAAGGTCTCCCTTCTTAACATCCGCGGTTTTTTCAATTGTAGCCATCTGTAATCTCCTTAAAATTGTTAGTGAAAACTTACAAGATAACAAAAAATACAAGATTACAATTGAAAATAAAAATGAAGAAATAAATTTCTTCAGGCTGAGGCGTGGATATCTCGCTCTCTTTAAGGAGATTCAAGCCCACTGCAGCAAATGTTTTCACCGGTCCATCAGTAGTTCTTCTTGACTTGTCCCCTTTAGGATACAACAGTCTAATTACAATATATAACTCAACAACTCTGGACAAGAGTTGAGTCCAAAGTTCCACAAAAAGAACACCTCCCTTCAACTAATAAGAACTCTCTTTTTGACAAACTTTTTCCTCTCTATTTTTTTCTTATGTGTTGTATCTAACAAACCAAATGAAGACCACCACTATTTATACTAGAAGAAGTTTTCCTAGCAATGAATAGGAAGATAATGGGGTAGTAAATAGTGAAGATAATGGTCTTAGGAGTTACATAGGTTACAAGGTATAATAAAGAATAACTAGTGAAATAATGTATGAAAGGTTACAAAAGTTTTAATGGACAATGAAACTTTTCTCGGCTCAATGGTCAAAAACCATCCGTTAGTTTGTTGGCAAGCTGCAACAGTAACAAATATTGTAATTCCAAAATGGAGTAACGCACTAGTGAGTAATGTAGCAACCAATATTGCCATTAACATTCTGCAGCCCATGAGAAGTCAACCAAACGGCAGTACCAATTACTATGTGGCAATGTAAGAAATGTAAATTCTTAAAATATTAAAATGCCACACTAACACTATATTATGTAATATTGCAAGATATTTAAACATGATACAAAAAGAGTGCAAAAAGCTGATAGGGTTAACATACCAAATAGGGTAAACAAATGGGAAAGCCTAGTCATGAAAAGACACTAGAAATTAGGGAAAAGACATGGGCAAATTCCAAGATAAATGATCTAATAACAACTCACCATTCCAAAAGAAAGACAAATAATGAAGTCATAGATACAATTGAATGCCAACATTGGTCTATTTGGACTCTTTATCACACTAACCTAGAGGAAGAATATGGATAGTGCACAAAATTATTATGTACCTTATATTGTTAATATAGTGCAATTTACCTCTCAACTAGTGCATTATGAAGTCCAACAAAGAGGCACTAAACACGTTTTCAATGTGACTAAAATTTCAGGCTCTTAGGATTCAAACATAGGAATCATTAATTAATAATTTCATACTAGATTTCAAGTCAAAGGCAACTAGATACATGCATTTTTGCTATCAAATACATTAAAATAGGGAGAGAGACGAGCGAGATTGGATAGAGGTGAGCAAGAGAATACATGTAAATCCCTTGAATACAATGTATCTTGAACAAATTACACCTAATTTTGACATCATACATGCATCCAAGATAATGTAAAGGCTCTTAGGATTCAAACATAGAGGTATGGCATTGTTAAAACGGCTTAAGATATAATGGGGGATTCGAGTTAGTACAAAGTCAGCGGCGATGTCATAAATTTTATCAAGGTTGTTCAAGATTTAATATATAAATTTGAAAAGTTTGATTTGTATACTTCGTAAAATTTTCTATATACATAATATAACTTTTTAACAAAAGATGTTCAACTGACCATTCTTCACGTCATTTTTCTTTTCCATTATTGTTGAGTAAAATGTTGGAGAACTAATAGTGTGAGTTTCTTCATTTTTTTCTTTTCTTTTTACAGTACTAACAAGACAATAGAACGTTATCAGAAGAATGACAAGAATTTGAGACATGACAAAATATTACTTGAACAGACTACTGAGGTTAGCATTTTTTCAATTTATGCTATGTTTATATGTTATATATATTATATAATATTACCACATTCATGTGGATAATTAATAACATGGCAAAGGCTGTAATCAACCCAAAATTAGTGCTCTTTAATTGATATTATTTCTAATTTAAGCAAGATTTTTGAAGTACTATGGGATTAATTAGGGTATCTTTTCCAATAAACCCAGCCACAATCTTGAATAGTGTAATATGATTTGCTAAACACTTGTGAATATCTCAGGGGTATAGCTAGGTATGGCGAGGGTAGTCAATTGAATATCTTTCGTAGAAAAATTATACATGTACTTTTCATACATATATATTAAACTTTGAAAATATCTTGAACGTCTTTAACGAAATTTTGTACTTCCCTACTGGAATATCCAATCAGAGTTGTATGTATAACAACAACATACTCAGACTAATCACCTCTCTCCAATACTTTTTCGGCCTATCTCTACTTCTTTCACACCTGCTATATTAAACCTCTGGCACCTCTTGCACCTCTTTATTGGGGCAATATTGCACATCTCATCTTCACATGTCCAAATTATTTTAGTCTTGATTCCCTCGTCTTGTCCACTATGGCGGCCGCCATTCCCGCATTGTCACTAATAATATCACTCCTAGTGTGCCCGCACATTCATCTCAACATCCTTATTCCGTGACTTGCATCTTCTGAATGTCGGATTAATTCTTAACTGATCTACACTCTGCCCCGTACAACATTGGTGTAACCACTACTTTGCTGGACTTACCTTTAAGTTTAGATGGTGCCTTCTTATTGCACAAGATTTCGGAGGCAACCATAGTTTGTATGTAAAGCTTTTTTTTTTTTTTTATTCCTTACAAATATCTTAAAATCCTTTTACCAGCTTTTAAAGATCAAGATTGATTACATTTTCATACATTTTGTGTTTTAATATAATTTTTTTTTACGTTTTCTAACGAATGTTTATAGATGAACAGTTCTTCATTCCTAATCTTTCGAAAACTTTTTAAATATAATTCCTTAAATATTTTGTTCATTAAATTTTTATGTAGCATTTGAAGGAGGAGGTTATGAGCATGACTAGGAATCTGGAGGTTCTTGAAAACTCTAAAAGGTAATTAATATCTACAATTTCCCTATGCTACGATAATTATATTATTTCCTCAGTCTCAATTATGTGCCACTATTCGTTTTTTGAGAGAAATAATTTAAATTTGACCATAAATTTGTGTATATATAGAATCTTCAAATTTTTTGAAATGAAATTTATATATTCGTAAATTACGTAAAAAGTACTTTAAATTACATAATTGATAATCCATAATATTTAAAAGATGCATGAAAAATTTACGGTCAAAGATAGACTTATTTAAATCTTGAAATCCGAAAATGCTACATAAATTGAGACGGAGGGAGTATAAAACTAATTTGTAGATGATTCTGAATTTATTTATTTTCTGTGTTGTTATGTTGTTGATTGCAGAAGGCTTTTAGGAGAAGATTTAGAGTCTTGCTCCATTGATGAACTTGAAAAGGTTGAAGGACAGTTAGATCAAAGTTTAAGAAATATTAGGGCAAAAAAGGTATGTATGTACAAATAGAGATCTAAACGCACTTGTTTACAATTTTTTAAGAGTCTGAACAACACATAATTTAAGTGTTTTCATTCATCAGATACATAATTTAAGAATAACTTTTGAATTTAGTAATTTTAAACTTAAAATATATGTAATGTACTAAAATACCCATTGAGTAATATGCTCTTTAAACATGACAAGTATAATATATAGAGTATAAAAATACATTATTTTTTTTCCTCATAATTGAAACTCCCCCCCACCCCAACACATCTCTGTGTGCCACACACTCTTTTGTGTGTCCATGTGGATGCTAACTTATCAAATCATAATCTATACAGATTTTTTAAATATCTAATCATAATCTATACAGATTTTTGAAATATCTGATTTTAAACGTATCATTATATTAGGTGGTTATAAATTTCTTGGAACTTATGATGTTAAATAGGGGCAGACCCACCCTTGAATAAGGGGTGTCAAGCGCTTGATACCTCTTCGTCGAAAAATTATATCGTATATAGGGTCATATTTTGGTTTAATAAATATATATACAAGTATTGACACTTCTCGACACAAGTTAAATATTTAATCTAGTGGTTAACGTGTTGTGAAAATTTCTTGAAATTGTATGTTGTAGTCATAATTATATTTTTTATTATAACCATTGACGCCCCTTAATGTCAATCTTGGATCTGTTACTGAGATTAAACATGTCATAATATTTATGTATAGCTATAAAATCTTTTTAAGTAAAATAAAAGGTTTAAACTAAATTGTTTCTAAATTTAAAAAGATATCATACTTTTGTAAAACCGATTTAAAGAAAATAGATTCATGTAAATTGAAATAAATGGAGTAATAACATAAAGTGAAGCTTTTACAATGGAATTAATATTTTTGTGTTTTATAATTTCAGAACCAGCTATACAAGGAAAAAATTTCTCTTCTAAAAGACGAGGTAAAATGCATTAGTATATATTATTGTATCCATAAAATCAGTTTATTTATTTTTATTTTATTTACATTTCAATTTTTAAAAAAATTGAGAAAATCGCGTAATAATTGCTTTATTATAATTTTCCTTGGTTCTTTTGTCCCAGGAAAAAGTCCTAATGGAGAAAAATGCAGAATTGCGGGAAAAGGTGAAATATAATTTTATAATTCACTTTTTATATTTAGCAACTTTAGATTTAAAGATTAATAAAAATCGATCAAATTAAAACACATAAAATAAGATGAATGAAATAATGTGTTTAAGCTATATATGATTTAAAAGTTAACAATATCGATCAAATTAAGACACCTAAAATAAAATAAATGAAATAATATTTTTAAGCTATGGAGACAACAAAAACCTCAAGTTTAGATAACTTTACCTTCTTTTACCTTAATATGTTGCCCTACCACATTTTTGCCAAATTTTGAGTTAATTTGTATATATTGACGGTATAATTATTATTATTTTACTTTTATTTGTAGCTTGTTATCGTAGGATATCGAAATAATTTTTTAAATCATTAATTTTACATGTTAAAGGTTTACTTGTATTTTTATATTAAATTTTATACCTAATAACACACATTGAAACTCTATTCGTGTGCATCTCCTAAAATTTCTCATGGGTCAATCTGATCTACAAGTCGATCTAAATTTTGGAAGAATCGAAATGAATTTAGCGAGTCATATTTTGATTGAATAATCATTAAATATTTTTTAATTTGTTGTTACAGTATGAGGCTCTACCGCTGCCTTTATTTATTGATCGACAAGAAGATGAAAGTCCTCAAGCACGAAAAATGGAGGTAGATACACAACTATTTATTGGATTTCCTGAAAGATGACTAAAGACGAAGTCAAGATTTGAAGTTTATGGATTTAAAAATTTTATTTACTTGAATCACTTTATTCTAAATTAATAATTTATATGTATTCAACCGTTTTCTTGAAACAAATATAGAATTTTAATCAAAGTTATTAAGTTCGATTCTGTAATTTATGTACTTGCACCGCTTCATTAATTACAAGCTTTTGTGACTGCCATTTAATTCACTTGATAACCAAAAATAATAACAACAAAAAATAAATTAATCATCAATGTTTTTAGTTAAGCACGACTATGGCCAATAATCCTTTTTTATTAAGTCCTTTAATATCATCTTAATGAAAGGTTAGCTGATCGACTAAAACAAATGTCGAGAGGATTAAGATCTTGTAAATTTGAGAGGATTAACTAATGGTAACTTAATGGGAAAATTGTATATAATAGCAAACTATTAATTCAAATTAAATGTTATAAATATAGTTTGATTTAATTGTACCTCATAGCAAACTGTTGCTATTTCACCTCTCTCCTGGTGAATCTCGCTCGCCACTCTCGTTCTCTCCCTCGCCTCTCTCGTTTTTTATACAAACGCAAGTGTATAAAGTGCGTTTGTGTTTGTATAAAGCGAGAGAAAATTGTATATATACATATATTTTCGTTCCCCTCTCTCCCCTCTCCCAGATCTCGCTCGCCACTCTCCCAGATCTCGCTCTCGCACTCGCCTCTCTCATTTTATACAAAAAACGCAAATTGTATAAAATGTGTTTATGTTTGTATAAAGCGAGAGAAAATTGTATATATACATATATTTTCGTTCCCCTCTCCCAGAGCTCGCTCGCCACTCTCCCAGATCTCGCTCTCTCACTCGCCTCTCTCACTTTATACAAAAACGCAAATGTATAAAATGCGTGAAAATTGTATATATACATATATTTTAGTTCCCCTCTCTCCCCTCTCCCAGATCTTGCTCGCCACTCTCCCAGATCTCGCTCGCTCACTCGCCTCTCTCACTTTATACAATTGATCTTTTTATATATGTATACCAAAGCAGATTATACAACTGCTTTATTTTGTATATGTATACTAAAATATACATATTTATGTTTGCTATGAAGCGCAATTATACAAACTTTGCTATAACATACAAATATGAATTTTGTGTTTGCTATATGTGAAAGTTGCTCTAACTTAATCTATCTGATTAACGATCTCATGAATTATGTTTATATGCACACAATAACAAATTATTAATTAATTAAATATGAAGTATTAAAATTATAAAAGTTCATAAAAGTTTTAAGCTTCACTAATTATTCGGTAAGTTTGATCTTATTTTATCTAGATCTAGTTGGTTCATAGTTCAAGAAACACCAAATTCGACGTGTTATATTCATTGTGAAGACTCAGCAAAATTGCTTACCTCATATATATTGGTAATGTAAAAAATAAACACTTCATGAAACAGAGGCAAAACTAGAATTTAAAATTTATGGATTCGCTATTTGATCCCCCCAAAAAGAAGGAAGTCGCGGCAGCATTTAAATTCTAGAAATGAGTTGGGGCCCCTTACCAAGTCTACCAGATAGAAGATGATAGAGGGACAAAAGTACGGTGGAGGTTGGTTGAAGATGATGTTACGCGGCGTTCGAAACCAGTCTTAGCTTGAAGTGAATGAATTATAAAGAAGTAAGGAAATGAGACGACTTTTTCTTGATCTATATCATAAGCAAATCTTCCCCGCCACACCAATCATGATTTTTCTCTATTCCTTGACTACAAGACCCACCTGTCGAGCTGGAACGAAAGTCGGCCTTAGTGATCCAACGGCGCTGAGTGGAAGGGTCGTCGCTCAACGGATAAAAGTTACTCTAGGGATAACAAGTTGATCTTCCCCAAAAGTTCATATTGACAGAAAGGTTTGGCACCTCGATGTCGGCTCTTCGCTACCTGGGGTTGTAGTATGTTCCAAGGGTTGGGTTGTTCGCCCATTAAAGCGGTACGTGAGCTGAGTTCAGAACATTGTGAGATAGTTCGGTCCATATCTGATGTGGACGTTAGAGCATTGAGAAAACTTTTCCCTAGTTCGAGAGGACCAGGAAGGACGCACCTTTGGTGTACCGGTTATCATTCCCACAGTAAATGCTGGGTAGCCAAGTGTGGCTGCTGAAAGCATCTAAGTAGTAAGCACATCCCAAGATGAGTGCTCTCATAATCCTGATATTATCTCGATTTAATTAATACATATTAATAATTGAATTTACAATCAAATTGTTATAGATATTTACTATAGATTTTTGATATATACACAAAAGTTTGAACAAAAATTATTTAATAAGAAATTGCCTCTATTATCGATATAATTTAACTTGTTGCAATGGGGTATCTCAACAATTTTTCAAATTCCTTATTTTCACGCTTATAAGATTTTGCCTGTAATTTTTAAAAATGCCCTAATTATACACATTCAAACTCTAAGCAAGTTAGAAACTTCGAGTATCTCTAGGCCTTAAATCAATTTCATAAATATATAGTTAGAAACATTGCTTCTTTATGGAAATGACACAACTTTTTTGTGTAGTCTAATAGTAGAGTTGCACCTCCATTTGTAGTATATATTGTAACAAATGTTCAATTAAATAATAATTTTTATTTAGCTACTTTAACGAGAAGGTATTGATTGACACCCTTCAAGTACATTTCGCTCCATTACTGACTACAATTACATCAACATCAAAGTTCCCCGGTCTGAAAATATACCAAGTTGGTTAAGGTTAAAAACGAAAAGGATAGTACCTGAGGTATTAGAAAATAATAAAAACATGCATGCTTTGTCATTTTCTTTTTATTTTCCAAACTTGTATTATTATCCTTCATTTCCCATCCTTGTATTGAGTTTTTAAGTCTATACACTGAACCTAAAATTTTGGACTATATGGTAAGATATATTAGTTTCTATAGATTATGGGTCCAATTAAGTTTGTGGTTGATAACACGCAAGTATTTTCTATGTAATTTACACTGCTGGATTTACTTGCTTACAATTGTAAGTATTTTAATTGTAATTTACTCCACCGATTTCGAGATACATGATGTTAAAATTAGGTGTAATTTGTTCTAGATATATTGTATCCAAGTAGATTTTATACGTGTCTAAGATACATGGACAAATTTCCTTCACCTGCTTCTGATCTCGCTCGTCACTCCTAGTATCTGGTATCTCAGATACATGCGAATCACACCAGATACATAGATATACATGTATTTGGTGTATATCTAGTAGTGATTCACATGTATATGTAATATATGACTATCTCGCTCGTCTCCCTCCCAATCTCGCTCACTTCCCTCCCTATTTTAGTGTATTTCTTGTGTCAAAAATACATGTATCTAAGTGTATCTTACTCAATATATGGTAAGAAACTCTTATTTAGTGTTAAGATACGTAACTATTTGAAAGTATAGATAGAACTAGTATATATGGTATGAATGTATATCTAATAAGCTAGTTTTTCCTTCTTTTTTCTCGCAAATCTAATATGAAGAGGTCTATAATTAAAATATTTTTCTTCGTTACTGTCAATTTTTTTACTCAAAATAGTTATAAAATTTACACTAATATTAGTGACATTCAAAGTAATAAAACTATAACCCGATACCTTCATCTGAGAGGTCGATTTCTTCGATCACGGGGCAACTTGGAATTGATGAAGGTCCAATTTTTTGGAAATATTGATCCAGCTTTTGTGACTTTTCCTTTTCTGTTTTTTTTTTCTTTTGGATTTATTTGAATTCAAAAATAGCAAAGACAAAAGATATAATAAGGCTCTATATTTATAGTTTTGATAATGGCACTACATAGCTATAGTTTTATTTGTTATGGAGGCTGCGTTTTGTATATTTCGCTTTTAAATATACAAATAGGGTAAGTATATACAAATGGAGGTTGCGGTTTGTATATTTCTCTTACCCGTTTGTATATTTCACTTGCGAATATACAGATTGTGTATTTACACATTTAGGATTTTTTCAGAACTTTGTTTGTATATTTCGCTTGTCAATATACAAACAAGGTAATTTACTATGAAGTTTTCATAAATCATATGCAAATAACTAGGATAAGCATATACAAATTCTGGATTTATACAATCGAGAGTCAAATTATACAAATTCTGGATTTATACAATTAGAAAACCGAGTAGCAAAATTTTGCGAAATTGTAGCCATAGATTAAAAAAAATCAAAAAAACTATAGCTATATTACATAATATACTCTAGATGCTTGCCATTTCACACAATTTTCCCTAAATAAAATAATAAAGTTATAACCCAAAGAGTATGAATTTAAAACAAAAGAAACATTTTTTAAACTTTTTTTGAAAATGCTTTTGCTTAAGCTAGCACACCGACAAAGACTTTACTGCCTAAATAGAAATAATACTAGTTATTAAATAGAAATATTAACTTGTACTATAATATTTATATATGATGCTTTAAGTAAACTTTAAATTTGAATTCCTCCTTTTATTTAACATTTATTTCAATATTCTACTTTTTTTTTATTTGACCCACAAACCAATCTAATCAACATTTCTCAAGCCATACGAACCAATAGACTTATTAGGATCCAGCTAAAAAAATCTTATTTTTAAATGGCCTCCAAAATTATTAAATACAGATTATGCCATATCGAACCAACAGGCCCAACTCATATTGTCGACATGTGAGCACATGTAATTAATGGAGAAATATCACATCTATTTTTTCATATATTATAATGTTTAAAAACAATATATCTCATCGAATCAAATAATGTGTATATAAAGTCAAATTGATACTAATAATTTCAGTACTATTTCCAGGGAAGTAGGTCAGGTTGGTGTCTGAGCCTTGCAATAATTTCGCACGCATAAGGTGTGGATCCACATTAGGACCAGGGGCGTAGCTGTAGTCGATGTCAAAAAATTACGTTATATATATACATATTAAATTTTAGGCCTAACCCATCGGTGTCCCCCTAAAATTGGCACGAAGTTTCACTTAGACACCTCAACTAGGGTATGTTCATTTTAAACCCCTTATGTTGGATCTCGTTGTGTCATTTTGACACTTTTCGCTGACATGGCATGGTGAGTGTAATACACTCAAAGTCAGCGCGTGAAAGGTTTTTTTTTACCAAAAAATTATTTTTAAAACATTGTTCATCTTCTTCCCTCTTTCTTTGTGATTATCTCATCCACCACACACCATCAACCCACCGCCGCTGTATTATCGCCATTAATCTTATTAAAATCGAAGCAATTTTTAATTGTATAAATTATAGGAACCACATATTATAAGTATTAAATAACATCTTATCCCTTCTAGTTTTCTATTTACCAAAAATCCCTTAAAAATGATGTTTGCGGGATACATAGTGTTGTGCACTGGATACATTAGGTTTGATACATTCCACATAGCGGGATACATAGCGTTGTGCACGGGATACATTAGGTTTGATACATTCCACATAGCGGGATACATAGCGTTGTGCACGGGATACATAGCGTTGTGCACGGGATACATAGCGTTGTGCACGGGATACATAGCGTTGTGCACGAGATACATAGCGTTTGATACATTCCACATAGCGGGATACATAGCGTTGTGCACGGGATACATGCGGGATACATAGAGTTGTGCACGGGATACATAGGTAAAATAAGGGATTTTTGAAAATTTTGAAATAAGTAGGGATAAATAGATATTAAGGTAAGTAAAGGAGTGTAGTTAAGTAATTTGTCCTTTTTAATTTTACAAATCTGAAAATCACCACAACCATCATCTTCTTCTCATTCTTTTTCTTTAGATCCAACAATTAAATTTCAGTGCCACAAAATAATTACTCTATTTCTTGTTCACATATTTGAATCCTCTGCACATACGAGAAATGTAAAAACAAAAACAATTCTTCCATTGTTAGTTATAACTGATTCTTTTTAGAAGTAAAGAAGAGAAAAAAATTATGCTTTTATAAATTAATTTTTTCAATGTTATTAAATTCTTTTTAAAATGTTTCTTGAAATGACGATAGAGTGAAAAAAGGGTTGAGGTTGGGGTGGGTGAGGGTAAAGAGGATGGACGATCTAGTGGGGGTGGAGGAGCGGTTGGGGTTGGGATGGGTGGAGTGGAGAAGACGCCTGGGTTGGTTGGGTGAAGAAGACAAGGGTGAGTTTCTTAATGAAAATTAGAAGTGATGAATTTCTTTTAAAAAAATATTTATTATTTGAGTTTGAAATGCCACATGTCATCAAATCAGTGGTTATTTTTCTTTTTACTTAAAAGTCATTAGTTTAGAATTATTTTTTATATATATGACATGTGTCTTTGTTTAATTTGTCATTTTGACACGTCATCGGCGAGTGTTTAACACACACTTTATATTTTTGGGTGATTGTTAAAAAAATGTCCAAATGTCACAACGGAACCCTACATAAAGTGTCTAAAATGAACAAAACTCAGTTAAGGTGTCTAAGTGAAATTTGGTGTCAATTTTAAGGGGCCACCGATGGGTTAACCCTAAATTTTACATTTAAAGGATATATATTTAAAGTTGGATGACTGAAACTATTTCTTTGACATAAAGGGGTTCCCAAATAGCACAATATTTTTTTGTTTTATTGGGAGAAAAAACTAACTATTTAAAATATTTCAAAAGTATATTTCACCCTTTTTCCTTTAATTTATGTTTTATTATTTGAATTTAAATAGTTAATTTAAAATTTTAATAATATATTTAGACATAAAATTTTGATTTTTTTTAAAAAATAATTCAAAAACATATAAAAAGAATCATGATCATATGAAAATTGTTTTTTCTCTTGAAATTTGAACACTATCACATACCATTGGTACGAATAAGTATGTCATACTAATTCATCGTCTTTGAGCTTTAAAAAGTACTACCAATTAGAGTTAATATCTTAAAAGGTTACTGAACTGTGAGAATTAATCTATTAAAATAAAAAAACTTTGTTTTATATCAATAGAATTACTCAACTTAAACCTTTTGTCTTCAAAAATCATTAATTACATTTATCATTAAAATAAATTTACCATAACAAAATAAATTATTTTATATGTTATGCAAATATAGACCCAACAAAGAAACAAAATCTAAAAAAATCATTATGCTTTTTCTCCCTTTGTTTTTTTTTAAAAAAATTATCATTAAATAAATTTAACATAACAAATAAATTATTTTATATGTGGTATCAAATTTATTGCTCTCAATTTTATCGATATTTCATGATAAGGTACTTGATAATGTTCAGGATCTTCAGTGATTATGTGACCTTTTCTTTTTTGGTATTTAATACTATTTGAGATTCATGGTCCAAATAAAAATAAGATTTTTTCTGATTGAATTGCATCATTTATAACGTGTCTTTGGTATAATTTATTTGACTTGGACAAAATATCTTCTGATTTATCTGGTATTCCTATTAAAATTATTTTGATGGAAAAAATAAATAAATTGTACTCATGAATAAATCTTATGAGAAAGGAATCAAGAGATCAATATATTTGTACTCACAATCTTAATAAATAAAATTATGTTTTTTCATATTTTATTTGTGATTGTAATTTATTTTTCTGTCACTTTAAAATTTATTGCAAACAGTAATAATTGAATAAGAAATATCCAATATTTAAACCATGAATTATAGGTAATCAGTTGAATTTACTGCTTACTTTTAAAAAAATGATGTACATATATTATTGTATACTTATCATACATAATTATACACAAATTATATATTTATTAGCTATTTTAAATTTACACAGTTAGATAAGTGATAAATTAAAATTAATTTATTATTTTAATTAAATTAAACTGTTAATATTTTAAAAAAAAATTAAAAAAATTTAGAAATATAATAGATATAATAAGGCTATATAACTATAATTTTGATAATTGCGCTTCATAACTATAATTCTCTTAGTTATGGCGGTTGCGATTTGTATATTTTTGCCCGTTGGTATATTTCGCTTGCATATACAAATATGGTAAGTATATACAAACTCTGTATTTATACACTTATGAATTTTTTAGAACTCCGTTTGTATATTTTGCTTGTCAATATACAAGCAGAGTAATTTATTCTGAATTTTTCATAAATCATATACAAATAATCATGGTAAGCATATGCAAGATTTTGGATTTATATAATCAGATTCCAAATTATACAAATTCTGAATTTATAAAATCAGGCGAATTATATAAATCGGGTGGATAACAATAATTTGGAAATAGTAGTCACGAATTATAATTTTTTTCGGCATAATTTTAGAAAAAAAATGTTCTTTTATGTGTAAGTAGTAGGGTCAAATAAGGAAACTAGTGTTGTCGAATAGTAAACGCCCACGTGTTTATAGTCAGCCGTGCACCCAACTCTGACGACAACTTTAGAAGCAACAGTCACTCCTAATATTTAGATCAAATTAATTAATGTATATATTTTTTATTGAATCCGACGCTTCCCGTTTTAATTTATTTGTGTTATTTAACTCGATACAAATTTTTATTTAAAAATTATGATTTTAAATTAAAAATTGATAGAATATATCAAAATATGTGTATAGTCTTTAACATGTTATGTGAAGAGTCAAATTCAAACATGTCATATGAGAAAAATATAATTAAACATATTATATGAAAAATTATAATTAAACATTTCTTCTTCTTGATACTTCAAATTAATAATGTACTCACTCACAAGAGGAATATGTAAAGGAAAAATGTATATGCAGAACTTTTTTTTTGTTATTTTATTTATAAACTAAACGGAATCTAAATATAAAATGTCAATATACTTAAGTAGCAACATTTACTATAATAATTATGAAATCTTCAAACAAACGTTGCCACTAAGGTATCCTCCATTTTTTAAAAATCTTTTTCATCACTTTCAACATGGATACACGTATGAATACTAATCTTTTTAGACCATAGAAAGTCAAAATATAAAAATTTAAAAAGAAAAGTCGACTACGTAAGTAAGAAACCAAAATTCCTATACACCTAACTACTAATTAAAAAAACTATATAATATACAACTTCATTCTCAACTTTATATTTCCCCTACAACGTTGGAGCTTAAAAGAAATATAGTATAATTTTAATCCATCATTTTTTTCTTGATTTCCAAATATGAGTACTTTGACAACTTCTTTTCTTCCATCACTTGAAAAAGAAAATTCTCTTTTTGTTTAACATAACAACAAGAAGAAGAAGAGGACACTTCAAAAAGAGCCAATCCATAGTTCCGGTAATTGCTCGTAGCTAACATAATTTTTTTTAAAAGACAATTGCGGTGACTCAGAAAAATAATCAATTTTAAATTAAAAGAATAAATGGTGTTTTAAAAGGGAGAAGGAGTCGCCACCTAATTTTAGGAAAACTAGGAAACCAATTAGTTAATTAACTTAAAAGAATGTCTACGAAACCAATAGATTCTAGGTAAGAGTTCAGATTATTTCGAAGGATAGATATTAGACATCATTCGAAATTCACAATAATAAATCTTGACTGAATTTATTTTTTTAAATTGAGGAAGAGTTATAACTTATAAACAATATAATAATATAAAATTTCCCAATTTGTAAGGTAGGAAAACAATTATTTTCACTTGATACCTATTTACATGTAATTTTAGTTGTAGTAATATGGTTTCAAGCATTTAAAAGGTAGGAAATCAAATTGCCCACTTGGCAGCCATAATTTGCCGGTTTAAAGCTCATCAAAGTACCCCAAGCGTTTTCATTTGCCTATTTCTTCTTTTTCTTCTTCTTGTTCCATGGATCCTATTATAACCTAATCTCTTCATCAGATAGGTTGATTTCTCATGGGGCAACTCGGAGATAATGAAGATTCTATTTTTATGGAAGTGGTCCAGCTTTAGTGATTTTTCCTTTTCTGATATTTTACTTTAGATTTATTTGTTTCCTATATTTCAGAAATAGCACATATAATAGACATAATAAGGTTCTATAGCTATAGTTTCGGTAATTGTGTTTCATAGCTATAATTCTACTTGCTATGCGTTGCGGTTTGTATATTTTACTTGTCCATTTGTATATTTCGCTAGCAAATATACAAACATAATAAGTATATACAAATGGAGGCTATAGTTTGTATATTTCGCTTGCGAATATACAAACTTGGTAAATATATACAAATTATGTATTCATACATTTAGGAATTTTTCAAAACTCTATTTGTATATTTCGCTTGTCAATATATAAACAACGTAATTTATGATGAATTTTTCATCAATCGTATACAAATAGCTAGGGTAAGCATTTACAAATTCTGTATTTATACAATTAGGAAATCGAGTAGCAAAATTTTGTTAAACTGTAGCCAGAGATTAAAATAATCAAAACTATAGTTATATTATATGATATACTCTAAATGTTTGTCATTTCGCGTAACTTTTCCTTTCAAAAAAATTATACACTAATCAAATTAAGGGTAAACTACATAAATTCCACTAGTTTAGGACATAATTACTAGAATTCAAGATAGTTTTGATAATTACATCATATACCATATTTTGTTTGTCGGATTCATATATCATTATTTGCGAGATACATGTATCCGATTGTTTGAATTAAAAAGATACATATTTTAATAATTTTGAATTAAATGTGTGTAGCCTATTCCCTTAAATAAAGGAGTAATTTAGGCTTAATTAATAATTCTAACTGATTTGCAGATTAATTAACATATCAATTCTAACAAATCTTCCTAAAATAACGAAATCCTAAAACCACAAGAGTTCTCTAATTGAAAACTTCATCTTCTTAACAATAGGTTTGAAAATCGTGAACTGCCATGAGATCAGGCTTGATCTTTTCTTAATCAATGCTAGAAGAGACATTCTTGAATCTCAGAGTTAGACTCAGTGCCGATGATTTTCATTTTCGAATTTCTGTGATTGAAAGGAAAGGAGAGAAAAGTATGGTGGACGAAGATGGTGTTGATTATCGTTTCTATGCTTTATTTATAATAAGATACATTTTGTTTATGTCAGATACACATTTATTTTTGTTGTTCATATACAAGGGTAGTGAGTAGTGACTCATATAATTGATGACTAATTCTCTAAACTAGTTGATATGAATTTTAAGTTAGATACATAGTAATTCATTGAGTTTTTGCTAAAAAAATATATTTTTTGACAATTTCAGATACACTATTTATCATATTAGATACATGTAATTTAACACTATAGAATACATATAACAACGTGCTTAAATACATAGAAATAATCAAATCAAATACACATCACTACCATGTAAAAATACCTTGACTGAAACATATTAAGTATATGAAATAAAAACTAAGATACATAAAATGAATTGTATGACCATATACATTGCAACTAAAATAATATATTGGGGGTGCGGATAGACGATTTATAGAGAAGGTTGGGGGAGGGACTTGATGAGAGAGAAAGGTATTTGGATCATTAATTTTGATTTTTAAATGTAAATATAATTAATCAATTTTGATTTTAAGGGTTTTAGTGTATCTAATTATATTTTTAAAAATATATGATATAAAATATTAAAAGTGACGATATATGTAATTGTTTGAAAGTAGATATGGTATGAATGTATGTCTAATTATGTAGTTTTTCCTGAAATTAAAGCAGAACAAAAGATACATTTTATTACTTTTTTGGAAAATGCTTTTGTTGAAGCTGGCACACGACACGTTGACGAGACTTTACTATCTAAATAGAAGGGAAAATGGTCTGAAAAATACTTTAACTTTGGCTGAAATTGCTGTTACGATACCAAACTTTATGAAGGACCTTTTACCCCTCTTTGTCACGACCCAAAAATGGACGTGATGGCACTCGTCTTAACCCACCAAGACAAGTCAGCCTAAAACTTAACCATTACAATAAAATGCGGAAATTTTTATAATAAACTCAAATATACCCCCAAAATCTGGTTGTCACGTGTACAAGCCTCTAAAGTATTACAATTGAATCAAAAGAAAAATACAAGTCTCATATGACATTGTTTCTAGAGTAGAACAAGATCATAAACAAGAGTAAGAAGGTCTGTTGAGTTGACAAACAGCTATCTCACAAATCTCCAAGAAGCCTCGGAAAAGAAGAGAATAACAAGTACCACAAAAATCCAGGCTCGTAACCTACAAAAATTTGTAGAAGCAAGGGGTGAGTACCAAACCACACGGTACTCAGCAAGTAAACCTCTAAACACAAGCTAAGGGGATAGAATACGAGTACTCCTTACACCCCAACCGAACCTCCACAACTACAACATGCATAAAATCAGCACAACCTAACAGTTCACAATTCACATAGCAGATATCTCAACAACAACACTCTAACAATTACATATCCTCAACAACAAGCTCAATATTCATCAATTACAATCTCCACAACTACAACCTGCTTAAAACCAGCTCAACCTAACAGTTCACAATTCAATTAGCACATATCTCAACAACAACACTCTAACAATTACATATTCTCAACAACAAGCTCAATAATGATAAATATGTGCAATGCAATGGATTGCAATGTCAAGTATAGTGATGCATGTCTGACCTAGTGATACACACCCGCTGTCTCTCAGTCCGGGACCCATGGGGGACATATCTGTCCATGCATCCATCGCGGCGCGCGATACGACCCTCGATAATAGTAACCATCGCGGCGCGCGATACGTCCCTCGAAATATAGTATCCGTCGCGGCGCGCGACACGTCCCTCGAAATATAGTATCCATCGCGGCGCGCGATACGTCCCTCGAAATGGTACATCCTCTTTAATTTCTTATTCTTTCTCAATGCACATAACACTTGTCACAACCATGTCTCAGAACAATGCAAATGACATGTTCACACAAATAATGAGGAGATGACCATTTTCATAACATTGCACAATTCACAACAACACAATCATGATACAACTTCAATAATGATTCAACAAGTCTTTCAAACAATTCTCAACACATCACACAAACAATTGATCACATTACTCCCAAACATATACCACAAGGAAATACACGAATTCCATACGCTTAACAAGGGTTTAGAAATCCACTTGCCTGAAATAGTCGAACAATTACTCCGGGACTTGAGCCTTCCCCTTTCATTGAACTTCTAAATCAATTTGATCTGGAGAAGCATCTTCGTCCTTTGCAGTTGTCGCCGCAGGTAAGTTTCTAACTCCCTTTTTTTAAAAAAAGAAATAATTATGTACTAAAATTGATAAACCCTATAATTTATTTTAATATGGGTTAAGTAGTAAAAATTATGGCATTGATTCATTAACCACTAACTAAATAAATAAATTATTGATTATATATCCGTCAATTAAAATAATCGTAGTTATCGAATAGTTCAAAATTTCCAAACCAACTTCGCTGATTAAAATTGACTCAGGCAACTATCGGGAGGGGTAAAGCGATAATTTTTTTATAAAAATTTTCAAAAATAATTTTTCGGGTCATTACACTGTACTATTTAATAATATATTTTAAAGGTATATATGTGTCCACGTGGATACATTACTATTTAAAATGATGCAATATTTATGATGTCCACGTAGACACATATATACCTTTAAAATACACTATTAAGTATTACAGGGGGTAAAAGATCATTTCCAAAGTTTGGTAACGTAACAACAATTTCGGCCAAAATCGAAGTATTTTTCAGACCCTTTTCCCTAAATAGAAATAATAATAATAGTTAAATAGAAATATTAACGTGTACTATTATTTTCATATATGCATATATGATGCTTTAAGTAAATTTTGAGATTGAATTCCTTTGTTTATTTAGCACTTATTTTTTAATATTGTGCATTATTTTTATTTGACCCATAGACCAATTTATTCAACATTTCTCAAGCCCTATGAACCAATAGACTTCTTAGGATCAAGCTAAAAAATCTTATTTTTAAATAGTCTCTAAAGATTTCAACTTTATTAAATTACAAATTAGACCATGTTGGATCAACAGACCCAACCCATATTGTCGGTTTTAACTTTTATATGAGCACATGTAAATAATGGAGGAATATCACTTCTTATCTTTTCATATGCTGTATGTATTATGAAAAAATATTTCATCTTATCAAATAATGTGTATGTAGAGTCAAATCGATATTTATAATTTCAGTACTATTTCTAGAAAAGTAGGTCAGGTTGGTGTCCTGGCCTTGCAATAATTTTGCACCCATAAGGCGTGGATCATACTTGTCGACTATCGATGGACTGATTTGATTTTTTCAATTTATTCAACTATAAATATTTAAATTTTTCAAAAACATATACAAAGAATAATGACTATATAAAAATTCGTTTTACTGAAATTTGAACAGTATTATGTTAAATTGATAAGAACAAGTATGTCATACTAATTCACCAGCTTTGAAAAAGTTCTAGCAATTAGAGTTAATATCTTAAAAAGATTATTAAATTATGAAAAATTATCAAGTAAAATAATTGAACTTTATTTTGTATCAATAAAATCACTCAACTTAAGGCTTTTATTTTTAATTACATTTATCTTTAAAATAATTTGATATGACAAAATAAATTATTTTATATGTCACGTAAATATAGACCCAACAAAGAAAAAATCATTATGCTTCTTCTTCTCCTTTTTTTTCTTTAAAAAAATTATCATTAAAATAAATTTAAAATGAAAAATATATTATTTTATTTATATGGTGTGTAAACATCAAATTTATTGCTCTCAAATTTATCCGGTACTAATATATAAGTGGGGATACCAGACAGGACATGGCTGACATGCCTTGTCTGGCAGCCACACATATATTTAATTTATTTATTTTTTTAAATTTATTTGTCTTATTTTAAAATTTGTTATATATTTAAAAATTGTGAAAAAATTATTATAAATCATGTTAATTGACAACTTCAAATATTTTCTAATTGCTTATAAGAAATTCGATTCATTTATAAAATTAAACTATTTGTGTCATATAAAATGAGACAAAATAGATAATATGTATTATTTAATTTGGAGATTACATAAAGAGTATTGTAAATCTCAATAATTTACAACATTTGATTGACCCTTGAAATTCTATTTGTGCTACATATATTGAGACAAGAGAAGTAACATATATTATTTATAAATTACGTAAAAAAAAACTATAAATTACAATCATTAACAATTTTAAATATTTAAAAATAATATTAAAATTTAATTAACCCTCTAAATTCTATATTTTTGTCTAGTTTCATTGTAAGGGACTTGATAATGTTCAGGATCTTTAGTGATTATGTGACCTTTTCTTTTTTGGCATTTAATATTTTATTTAAAACTATGAGATTCACGAGATTCATTGGTCCAAATAAAAATAAGATTTTTTCTGATTGAATTGCTTCGTTTATCACGCTTCTTTAGTAGTATAATTTATTTGAGGCCTCTATTTGACGTGGACAAAATATCTAGTCCGTACTGTTACTCCTTCAGTCCAATAATAATTATCTATTATTAACTTGATACATTCTTTAAGAAATTATAAGTAAAAGAATAATTTTATTATATCATCCTTTAAATATAATAAATACAATATTTTGAAAAATGTACTATAATTAAAGATAAAGGTAATCTAGAAACTAAGTGTAAAATTATCTATAAATTTCATAAAATTGACAACTTATTATTGGACATTTATTTATAGTATAGTGGACAAGTATTGTTGGGTGGAGGGAGTATAATAGATGGTATGTTCCTTGTTATATATCAAATTTATTATAATGATAAATGTAATAATTTAAAAGAAAATTGAATAAGAAATATCCAATATTTAAACCATAAATTATATGTAATCAGTCGAATTTACTGCTTACTTTTTTTCTAAAACGATGTAAATATATTATTGTATACTTATCAAACATATTATATATTTATTATACACATTATATATTTATTAGTTGGATAAGTGATAAATTAAAATTAATTTATTATTTTAATTAAATTAAACTATTAACATTAAAAATAATATTCTTTTAAGTAGTAGGGTCAAATAAGGAAACTAGTGTTGTCGACTAGTAAACGCCCACGTGTCTATAGTTATCGTGCACCCAACCCCGACAGCAACCCTAGAAGCAACCGTTACTTCTAATATTCTGAATCTCTCCGTTTTAATTTATTTATTTTATATAATTTGATATAAAATATAATAATTTTTTAATTTTTTTTTTATAGTCTTTATTTAAAGATTGGTAGATATAGAACAATTATAATTAAACATATCATAAGTTGCTAAAAACAAATTAATGTCAAGTGAAAAATTAGAATAAAAGAGTTAACAAATATATATATTTCTTCTTCTTGATACATAAAATCAATATCATATTCACTCATAAGTGGAGTATGTGGAGGCAGTGACGGAGCCAGAATTTTTAATAAGGGGTTAAAAATCTAAAAAAATAGACACACGAAGTAACCGAAGGGGATTCGACATCTAATATATATATCTAAAAAATTAGTTTAACCATGTATAAATCATATAATTTTCCACCGAAGGAGATTCGGATGAACCCCTCAAGGTGACTCCGCCACTGTGTGGAGGAATAACATATATACAGATCTTTTTATATTGTTATTTTATTTATAACAACTAAACGGAATATAAATATGAAATGTCACTATACTTAAATAACAATATTTTACTTTAATAAGGTATCCTTCATTTTTTTGTTTTTATCTTTTTCATCATTTTCAACATACATACACGTATGAATACTAATCTTTTAATTAGACCATAGAAAGTCAAAATATAAAAATTTAAAAAGAAAAGGCGACTACGTAAGCAAGTAGCCAAAATTCTTATACCCCTAACTACTAATTAAAAAACTATATAATATACAACTTCATTCTCAACTTTATATTTCCCCTACAACGTTGGAGCTTAAAAGAAATATAGTATAATTTTAATCCATCATTTTTTTCTTGATTTCCAAATATGAGTACTTTGACAACTTCTTTTCTTCCGTCACTTGAAAAAGAAAATTCTCTTTTTGTTTACACAAGAAGAAGAAGAAGAGGACACTCCAAAAAGAGCCAATCCATTATTCCGGTAATTGCTCGTAGCTAACATAATTTTTTTATTATTATCTATCGAATTTTGCTTGTTTAGCTATAGAAGTTGTCAGTCGCTAATTGCTATATACATATTTAATTATTTGTATTAATGTATGTGATTGATGATCTTAGGTGGCAAGGTTATTTGGACCATCAATATTTGAAGCATCAAAGTTGAAGGTTCTCTTTTTAGGTGTAGATGAGAAAAAACATCCAGCAAGGCTTCCAAGAACATATACACTTACACATAGTGATATTACATGTAAACTCACTCTTGCTGTCTCTCAAACCATCAATAACTCTCAGGTAATTTTTGTAATATACGATAGTAATTGAGTTTACAGTTAAATATTAACGTAGAATTATCTAAGAGGTCCTTGTAGTTGGCTCAGATTGTTCAATTGGATCCTTCTACTCTCTTCTTAGTAGTTTTCTACAGAATTGTATAATTATGGTCTCAAATTTAGTTAGTTTGATTGTTGAATCTGATTTTACTTTAGCGTGTTTGTCTATCTCTAATAAAATAGAGGGCAGTCTGGTGCACAAATCATCTCATGTTAACAGAGTTTGAGAAAGGATTGCATCCCAAAGAATGTAATGTTGACTGTCTACCCTTATGCAAGAATTAGTGGCGACTAGAAGTAGTACTTGATCAATTCATGACTGATTTTTCTTTTTGATGGGCAGTTAGAAGGATGGTATAATAGATTGCAAAGGGATGAAGTGATTGCAGAATGGAAGAAAGTTAAAGGGAAGATGTCCCTTCATGTTCATTGTCACATTAGTGGAGACCATTTCTTGTTAGACTTTGTTGCTAGGCTCAGATACTATATTTTCTGCAAGGAACTCCCCGTGGTAAGTTTTTATAGCAAGTCTGATATATACGGTTAAAGTAAAACATAATACATAAACGTACTCTTTAACTTGACCTCAGCTGACATCTACGCTCCAACTTTGAGTGTGCATAAGTAGACACTTAAACTTATATAAAGTTGAACAAGTAAACAAATGTGTCCTATGTGACAATTCACTATGACACCCTAAGTATATTATATCATCGTAGGACATGTGTGTCTACTTGTTCAACTTTATACAAGTTTAAGTGTCTACTTATGTACATTCAAAGTTGGAGGATATAGATGCGAGTTGAGATCAGGTTAAAGGGTACATTTATGTATTATGTCTTAAATTAAACTATTCGTGTAAAAAAATCTTTATATAATCAATGTATATAACTTACACTATTCTTTTTGAATATGTTCTAGGTTTTGAAGGCATTTGTTCATGGAGATGGAAATTTGCTAAAAAATTATCCAGAGTTGGAAGAAGCTTTGGTTTGGGTATATTTTCACTCAAACATACAAGAATTCAACAAAGTGGATTGTTGGGGTCCTTTAAAAGAAGCATCTTCACTATCTTCTACTACTACTTATTCATCATCTAGTGAATTAGGTGAGACTCAAATGGATAATACAAGCAATTACAATTTGGATTTACCACAACCATGTCAAGGGTCTTGCACATGTTGCTTCCCCTCAACAAGGAAAATCTAAAGAGCGTTTAATATTGAGAATGTTGAATGTATTACACACACGTGATATTGCGTAATAAGGCTTTTAACTAGCTTAGTGAATCAATTGAAATGATTCTGTATTGGTCTACAAACTTTACAAGATTGATGTATTTTACTGTCATTGTATGTTAGGACTAGAAAAAAAATATTAGTAGTATTTTTTTATTCTAAATGTAAATATTCAAGTGTCCCTTGGTTAAGAACAAAAATAGCCATTTGGGGGATTGTGCACCAAATAGCCCTTCTATCACTTTACGCGCAGAAGGCAAAAGTTTTTTGAACTCGGAATTTGGAAGGCACCGCGTGTCGCGCGCCTTAGTCCCATATTTGGCCGTTTCGACTTTTAGTATAAATAGGATTTTAGTTTATTTTATTAGATATTCTTTTTATGGGTTGGAAGAGCGACGACTTGGAAGTACGTTTTCTGAAGTTTTAAGGGTTATTTCTCGAACTCTTTTCCTTTGAATCGTTTGATGATTCATAACCATTGCATGATTGATTGTTGGATTATGAGTATCTAAATACCCTAGTTCTATGGCTATGGCTACATGATGATTGTAATTAATTGAGTTTGTTTTTGGGTTTATTATTGATTATCACATGAATCTTTCTTATGTTCTTATTTTCTATATTTCGTGATTGATTACCATAGAAATAAATTCTTTGTTCGAATTGAACTCGGGAAAGGAATAAGAGGATAGAACATGGGGCATAAGGAGCTTGTTGAACCCTAAATAGCTAGGGTTGATTCGTTTCTAGGATAGGGATATACCTAGAGACCTCGCTTGGGTCACCATACAAGAAGATAACTTAATGCTCGGTAGTTAATCATTCTACCCCCGCTCAACGATGTAGTTAGGGTGTTATCTATCGTAGGCGATTAGAGGTCGGGAGACCATGATCATACATCTAACCCTGTGATTCATTGATTCGATAGTTAATAATTACCCATATAAATGATATTGATTGCATGAATGAAGCTGCAGCCCTGGATTTTTCCCAAATCATTGTTTGAAACTCGTGAAACTGAATCTTGTTAGTTATATTTTGTTTTGAAATTTAGAAATAAAAATAAACAACTCTTTAAATCTGGAAATACATTTGTGGTTAGCTGAGAATTGGAGAAATCGATAGCTTCTAAGTGTGAGTCCCTGTGGGTACGATACCCGGCTCTCAAAAAGAGCCATTTTATTACTTGTACGATCACGTGCACTTGCGTGTGTGATTATACCGCAACAAGTTCTTGGCGCAACTGTCGGGGACTTTAGAATTATAAAGTATTTGATTTTTCTGAAGTTGAAACGCAAGTGTTGACAACTTGATCTTAGCATTCCATTGTTACAGGTTGAAACTCTAAACTGGACGACGATCAAGGATTATTATCGCCTCTCTCAGAACCTGAAAGATTCGTACACTTACATAGAAGGCAACAACGATTAGCATATCTGGTTCCCCAGTTATAAGTGAGCTAAAATCTCCTGGACCAAAAATAGAGGGAAAAAAACCTGAGACAATGGCTGCTGAGTTGAAAGTATGAGACGTGGTAATCCCACGCCCCACCAATGTGACTTCGTGCATACAGAAACCTAAACCTGGTGGGAGATTTGAACTGAAACAGAGTATGGTGCAAATTTTGCACACAAATGGGCAGTTTACTGGTCTTTAACATGAGAATCCCATGGTTCACATTCAGAACTTCCTCGAAATCAGTGATACTTACACTCCAACTGGGGTGAATAACGATTATGTGAGGCTCACCTTATTCCCCTTCTCTCTGCTTGGGGAAGCAAAAAAAATGGTTGAACTCAGAGCCTGCGAATTCAATTACCACCTGGGACGATTTGACACAGAAATTCCTCAACAGATTTATTCCATCTGGGAAAACAGCTAAGCTGATGAGTGATATTTTGAGTTTTAGGCAGAAGGGTGGTGAGAACTTGTACCAAGCTTGGGACAGGTTTAAATTGATGTTGATGAGCTGCCCTCATCATCATCAATCTAATGAGGTATTAGTCCATACCTTCATTGAAGAGTTGGAGCCTAACACCAAGATTTTACTTGATTCAGGTACAGGTGGACATGCCTTAGAGAAGACTTATGTTGAACTATTCACCTTGCTGAACCAGATCTCTCAGGGTAATCCAAAGTGGAACGGAGAGGGAATGAAACCTGTAGTACAGAAAACTGCAGGTATGCTGGAAGTAGATGCGATGACTGCTCTAACTGCACAGATTTCTGCTATGCAGAATATGATGAGTACACATTTTAGCAACATGGCATTGGGACAACAGCCTGTACAGGTTAATGCCGTTCAACAACCACCGTCTTGGTGTGAGATCTGCGGAGGTAGCGATCACGGTGCAGAGGTATGTGGTGTAAACCCATATTCTGTTAATTTTGTAGGAAATGCCCAGAGATGAGGATGCCAACAAAACTATGAAAACTCATATAACCCAAGTTAGCGAAACCACCCAAACTTTTCTTGGGGTGAAAATTAGAACCAGGGCCAAGGGTAAAACAATTATAGGCAACAAGACAATGCCAATGGGTATCAACCACAGGCGCAAATGGAGCAACCCAAGCAACAATCTGGAAACATGAGTGTGGAGGTGATGCTGAAAAAGATTATGGCTAACTTAGCCCAGTTAGCTGCTGATGTGAGAAATAATCAATTAGCTACACAGAATCTGGAGAAGCAATTTGGGCAGTTTCCTAGTTCCCAAAATTCACGATCGCAAGGAGGTTTGCCTGGAAACACTGACCCAAATCCTAAACAGGTGAATGCAGTAAGTACATGCAGTGGTTTGCAATTGGAGGAGTTAGCTCCTAAGAAAAGAGACACTGAAGTTATACACAAAGAGAGTGAACCTAAAGAGGGTGAGCTTAAGGAGAATGAAGTAGTTGCACCGGAAGAAAGAGTGCAACCAACAGTGAGACCACCTCCTCCATTTCCTCAGAAGTTCAAGAAACAAAAGGAGGACGAATGTTTTGGTAAGTTTCTCTCTCTCTTGAAACAAGTTCACATTAACTTTCCATTGGTAGATGTTTTGCAGGGTATACCCAGGTATGCGAAGTATGTGAATGAGACCGTAGCAAAAAAAATGAGGCTGACAAAGTATGAGATTGTGGCACTTACTGAAGAGTGCAACTCCAAAATTCAGAACAAGCTGCCTATTAAACTAAAACATCCGGATAGTTTTACTGTGCAGATTACTATAGGGCAAAGCATTCATGCTCGAGGATTGTGTGATCTAGGAGCGAGTATAAATTTGATGCCAACTTCTCTGTACAAAAAGTTGGGGTTGGGTAGTCCTAAACCAACTACCATAATTTTGCAGTTGGCGGATAGATCTGTAGCTAGACTTGAGGGTGTTGCGGAATATGTGTTAGTGCAAGTGGAACTCTGATTTTCCCAGTAGACTTTGTAGTTTTGAATTTCGAGCCTGATCCTGAGGTCCCTTTCATCTTAGGACGACCTTTCTTAGCAACTGATAAGGCGATGATAGATGTGGCGGCTGGGTAACTTACTATGAGAGCTCATGATAAAGTAGAGGTGTTTGATATGTACAAAGCCTTAAAAATGTCAGTTGTGTATGAGGAGCTGTCTGCCATAACTGTGATAGATTTTGAGGCAGAAACTAAATATATTGCAGCTAAGGATCCTCTAGAGCGAGTGTTGGTGGGGGATGACAGATATGGGGATGTTGAGGCACATGAAATGGTGCAATTCCTTGATATGTCACTTATAGTTACCTCTGGAGAGCGCTGAGAGCCTCTAAATAGGGTGTTTGGTCCTCCACCTAAACCCTTTATTGAAAAAGCACCCAAGCTAGAGTTGAAAACACTGCTAGCCCACCTCAGGTATGCATTTTTGGGTAAAGATAAAACTTTACTGGTTATTTTGTCTGCATCATTATTTGACAAACATGTGGAAGCCGCACTCCGCATTCTGAAGAGGAGGAAAACAACTCTGGGATGGCAAATGTCTAATATCCATGGTATTAGTCCTGCACTATATGCACACACTATACATGGAATAAGGGTACAAGGCAAGTGCACAGCATCCGCGGAGACTAAATCCATTGATGAATGATGTTATCAGAAAAGAGGTCATTAAGTGGCTGGATGAAGGGATTGTTTACCCAATATCTGACAGCAAATGGGTAAGTCCAGTGCAGTGTGTGCCCAAGAAGGGCAGAATGACAGTTGTGACCAATGAAAAAAATGAGTTGATCCCCACAAGAACAATGACAGGGTGGAGGATATGCATGGACTACAGAAAACTCAATGAAGCCACCAGGAAAGACCACTATCCAGTATCGTTCATTGATCATATGTTAGACAGATTGGCCGGACAAGAGTATTACTGTTTCCTTGATGACTATTCAAGGTATAATCAGATCGTCATTGCACTTGAGGATCAAGAGAAAACGACATTCACTTTCCCATATGGCACATATGCGTTCAAACGCATGCCATTCGGCTTGTGCAATGCCCCAACTAGATTTCAGAGATGTATGATGGAATTTTCCATGATATGGTGGAAGATTTTGTTGAAGTGTTCATGGATGATTTCTCGGTGTTTGGTGAGTCGTTCGAACTTTGTTTATTTAATCTTGACAGAGTTCTTGCTATGTGTGAAGAGACCAATTTGGTGCTAAACTGGGAGAAGTTCACTTCCTGGTTAGAGAAGAATTGTGTTGGGGTACAAGATATCCAAGAGTGGGCTAGAAGTAGACAAAGTGAAGGTGGAAGCGATTGAGAAGTTGCCACCACCAATATCAGTGAAGGGAGTGCGAAGCTTCCTTTGACATGCTGGTTTTTACAGGAGGTTTATCAAGGACTTCTCTAAAATTGCAAGACCTATGTGCACCTTATTAGAGAAAGAGATGAAATTTGTGTTTGATGAAAAATGCTTGCAAGCTTTTGAGATGTTGAAACAAAAGTTGATTGAGGCTCCTATTATTATTGCTCCAAATTGGGAGCTTTCATTTGAGCTGATGTGTGATGCTAGTGATATAGCAGTTAGGGAAGTTCTTGGTCAGAGAAAGGATAAGGTGTTTCACTCCATATACTATACGAGCAAAACACTTGACGCAGCCCAATCGAGCTACACCGTTATAGAGAAGGAGATGTTGGCATTGGTATTCGCATTTGACAAGTTTAGGTCATACTTGGTGGGAACCAAAGTGATAGTCTACACTGATCATTCGGCCATTCGGTACTTGTTCAACAAAAAGGATGCCAAACCTAGGTTGATTAGGTAGATCCTGTTGCTAGAAGAATTTGACCTCGAAATAAGAGATAAGAAGGGAACTGAGAACCAAATAGCTGTCATTTGTCCTGACTAGAGGATTCATCTCATGTGAACAATGAAGGGTAGATTCGTGAAGAGTTATTTGATGTGCAGTTGCTTGCTTTGGACATTGCTCAGGTTCCTTGGTATGCGGACATTGTGAATTTTTTGGTGAGTGGTTTATTTCCACCTGGGGCATCAACACATCAGAAACAGAGGTTAAAGTATGATGCACACTTCTATATATGGGATGATCCCTATTTGTTCAAGCAGGGTTCAGATCAGATGGTGAGAATGTGTATAGTTGAGCATGAGGCGACACAAAGGTTGGAGAGTTACCACGCATCACCATATGGTGGACATTATGGAGGTGAAAGAACTGCGTCTAAGGTATTGAAGTGTGGTTTCTTTTGGCCTACCTTATTTAAATATGCTGCTTTGTTTGTGAAGTGTTGTGATCAGTGCCGGAGGATGGGAACCATTTCGAAGAGGCATGAGATGCCATTGAACATCATACTAGAGGTGGAGATTTTTATGTGTGGGGAATAGACTTCATGGGACTATTCCTATCGTTCCGGGGTAATCAATACATTCTAGTCGCTGTGGACTACGTGTCTAAGTGGGTGGAGGTTGTTGCCTTGCCAACAAATGATGCCAAAGTGGTTGTCAAGTTCATCCGAAAGTACATCTTCACCAGGTTTGGAATGCCAAGGGTGATAATCAGTGATGGAGGTAAGCACTTTATCAATAATTCAGTTCGTAGTCTGTTAGCGAAGTATGGGGTGAAGCGCAAAGTGGCTATATCATATCATCCCCAAACTAGTGGGTAGGTAGAGGTATCAAACAGGGAGGTCAAGCAGATCCTCCAAAAGAATGTAAATGCCAAAATAAAATATTGGGCCGATAAGTTAGATAATGCCTTATGGGCATATCAGACTGCTTACAAGACACCGATATGGACTTTTCCTTATCGAATGGTGTTTGGGAAAGCTTGTCACTTACCAGTTGAGTTAGAGCACAAGGCATAGTGGGTGATCAAGAAGATGAATCTCGATGCTGAGTTAGCAGGCAGAAAGAGGATCACATAGCTGCACGAGCTAGAATAGTTTAGGCTTCACGCCTATGAAAATGTAAAGCTTTATAAAGAGAAAACCAAGAGGTGGCATGACAAGCATATTGTGTCACGCACCTTTGAGCCTGGTCAGTTAGTGTTACTTTTAAATTGTAGATTGAAGTTGTTCCCAGGGAAGCTTCAGTCTAAGTGGAGTGGTCCGTTTGAGGTGGTGAGGTTGACTCAACATGGTGTTGTAGAATTGCGTAACAAGGATAAAAGCTCTACTTTTCTTGTAAATGGTCAACGGGTCAAGCATTACTTCGGTAAGGATGTAGATCGTGAGTTAGAAGCACTCTCATTGAATGACGAATGAGCCATGAGATATCTAACATTCCGTATCTGAAACAAACCAAAAATGCATATTTTGAGAAGTTGCAGGTGCAACCCACGGTTGCCATCCATGGATTGTAGGTCAGACCACGATCCGTGCTGGTGGTTCGTGGTTCACAACTGCAACCCTTCCCTAAACCCAGCTCAGAAAATCGGCTAAGTCTCGACCCACAGACAGACCCACGGTTCGTAGGTCAGACCACGGTCCGTGGTTTATGTCCGTGGATCAAGACTCATTTACCCAGCCTCTGACATGAACTACGATCGACCAACACAGACCGTCATTCGATCCACGGTCTGTGGGTCTGACCGTAGGTGAGGGTCAACAGCCAGTTAGATGAAAATTATTGATTGAGTCAACTTCAAATGGTCATAACTCTTAGCACAAAATTAATTATGTGTCCTATGACCTATGTAAGATAGATAATTGAATCCTCTTTCCAACACCACCGAGTTTACTAAAGTCCGACCTCCGAGTAAAAAGTTATGCTTGTTTTAGTGAAGCCTTGTCGGGCAGACTTGACCGATGACTCCAATCGACGGACCGTAGATTGATCGAAGGCCCGTAGGTCTAGTTCGTCGATCACTCTGACAACAGTTAAGTCAGGGGTCTTTTGGTTTTTTCCTATTTCGTTTAAACCCTAATATACGTCGTTTAGACCCTAAATCATGAGGTTTTAATTAGTTTAAGCCTAGAAACATAACTAGAACTTATCTTAAGTCAAATCATTAATCAAAAAGTTAGAAAAATTAGAGCGTAAGAGGAAAAGAAAGGTCAAGAACCCTAGTTCAAGAACGCAACAAGGTTCCATCAGTTCCAGCCCCAAAATCAAAAGATTTCTCCGTGGAATTCGTCACCATGTATGTGGGATTTCACTAGTGGGTTCCTTTCGCCCATTAGGTCTTTATAATTCAGTCAGTTTTTTGATTCCCTTATTATGAATAGACCTATGGTTTCTAGAATTACAGCAGATCATCATGAATTAGTTATTAACATGTTCCAAATCAGATTATCATGTTATTCATCGTTTCTAGCATAAATTTCAGAACCCTAGCTATGTATTTCTTTAGTTCTTGTATTATACATGCTAGGTCAGATATCTCAGTTATTCAGTTATACATGCCTAAATTATTAATGCATCATTATCAGATTAATTGATGCATTCTCAGTTTGCATGTTCAGTTTTGAGCTATTCAGTATTTACATAAATTCAGTCATAATCAGTTAACCACTTAATTCATTGGGAATAGCATAATACTGAGTTGGAATAACGTTCAACGTACCCATATAGTCCCAGAACTACGAGCCACGTAGGTGTAAGTCCCCTATGTGGGCAACATCAGTGAAGGGAGTGCGAAGACATGTCTCTATACCTCTGGCAGGGTATATTGGGTTCTCTCGATGGGGCGTATACATCGGACTTCACATTTAGCTCATGTGGTTTTATGTCAGTTATTAGTAGCTCCCACAATTCAGTCAGATTCTAATGCATTGACCATTTATCAGTATATTCAATATTCAGTCTCAGCATGTTATAAATTAGTTATCGCATTCAGTTAGCTCAATATTTAGTATCTATATTGTCGCGCCCCGTTTTTCTCAAAACGGGTTTTGGTGCACTACCTAACAACTCTTTTGGGCTTTGGATTATTGAAGAGTCGTCACC